ACACCTCTAAAAACAGAGGGGGCTTTCAAGGCAAACAAACTTGATTTGAATTAAAGCTGACTAAACAGGGCTGGTGTCAATACTGAATTAAGGTCTCACCAAGGAAATTGAAGCTTGGGCACCAATGGGTCTTCCAAAAAGACTGTCACACTAAGCACAGTCAATTCTGTAGGTCCAACCATGAGCGCTGCATGTAGGCCGCCAGGAAAAGTGGAGTTGGGAGGACCCAATAATGAGAAATCATTCTAATAATTGAAAAACATGAAACACATTAAAAAAATTGCATGTATTTTGCACTTCTTTAATATCCAATTTTCACTTCTGCCTTCTGCGAACCTCTCGGGTATCAGTGCGCCGATAATAATCCGGAATGTGTTATAACCATGCATCCTTGTCTTTTTGGTTAGCCATAGCCCTTTCTGACAGCGTAAGTGAAAATTATCCATCCATCCATCCATCAATTTTCTGTACACCCTTGTCCCTATTGGGGCCGGGGGGTTAGCTGGTGTCTATCTCCAGCTATCGTTCCAGGCGGGAGGCGGGGTTAAGTGAAAATTAAAATGACAAAAAAAAAAAAAAAAAAAAAAACTCAAAACAATATAATTTGTCAATTTATTTGATATGTCTACATTATTTTTGGCTCTCCAAACACCTTAACATGACACTTAACATACTTAGTTAAGAAAATATGTATTTTTATGAAAAAAATAAAAATAAATTCCTTGCTCAACACTTGTCTACTCTCTAACAGTATGAATAAACATTGTGTCTACACTAAAGTAATGGCTCAGTTACCATTGAGGATAACGTAAAATCTTAGGGATTTACCTAAACATTCATTTCCACAACTGTGTGCTTTAAGACAAAGTAGTCAGGTGCAAAAATCACTGTATGAACACTTATGAGGTGCTAATTATCATATGTGCTGTGCTTGGATGAAAAACATTGACACCTGCAAATTTCTTTTTAAAAGAAGACTTAATTTTGCCTCGTGATGATGAAATATGTCTTCTGTAGTAAAATGATCAGAGATCATTAGTCCCAATCATTTCTGATAAACAGATTTGACCCTAAAAATGTGGTTTGATATTTCATTTTGACTTCTGACTAGATGAGCAAGATTGGCGTCACTACTGCATTTGTTGTCACCTTTATCTCCTGCTGTTAATAAACTGTACCACCATGATAGAAATGGTAAACCTCAAATCACACTTCTTTTTAATTTTATTCTATCCCTTGAATTACTTACTATGCTTAATTAGAAAAAAAAAATTGATGCAAAGATCTATTCAAGGGTGCAAATCATGATGCAAGTGACTAAATGAAGTTGGAGAAAGGATGGGCTTTTGGTTTTTATTAATTATTAGTAATTTATCTGTGTCATTGTGACCCCTTAGTGGTACATTAGTTTCAAATTAAAACATTATCTTTCACAAAAGCAATATTGCATTGCACATGCTCACTGATTGTACTTCACAACGAGACATGGAGTTATAACAGCTGATTTAGTATTGAGACAACAAGCTCTGATGAAAGCCAAAAGTAGTCAGACCTCTCAGTTTGGCAGGAATGGCGTTAAGTCATCAGCAAAAAGTAATGGCAGGCGGTGATTGGTGGCTAAAGCCTCCTGAAAAGAGCTCTCATACATAAAAGTGCAGGACAGGTGGTTTTCTCTCTGGGGATCACTGTGCGAGCCTCATTCAGTGGTGAATGGGGATTGAGCCGAACGTGATTGAACAGGCTGAAACAGGGTCTGATGGTAGCAGTGTGTGTGCGCGTGTGTGAGTGAGAGATACAGAAACATTAAGCTGGTTCATGTGCTCAACTATCCCCTCTAATCCATTTGATCAATAGCGCTGATTGCTTCAATATTAGCACAGCTTACACACAGACATTGCACATGGCAAAAATAGTTTATGGGGGTGCGGAGGATGGTCTTAATCACCAACAAGCTGTGTCAAGGAGCAACCAACATGTGTGTGTCTGCATTCTTGTAGACTGCTGCTCTCCACTGGCCCCTTCCAAATGAGACCAGAAAGAGCCAAAAGGATGCACTCTGCTTTCCCCTCCTGCTGCATGGATTATTTATGAGATATGCCCAGCTTGAAATGATTAGCTTTTTATTTGTTTACATAAGCGCTATTTTGACTAACAACGGCAATAAATTAAAAAGCAATATGTGTGTCATACATCTAGACAAAACGGAGGCAAAAACTCAGCTGTGGTTGCAAAATACGAAAGAGATTAATGTTGTTTTTAAAGTGTTTGCAGAAATATTAGAGGCAATGAATCAGGGTTAATGGCAGAGGAACATTCTTCAGAATGAATAATAATCACAAAACAATTATGATTCAGCATAAAACAACAACCTTATTTATTTGTGACAGCTTAAATATCCTCATGTGTCACTGAAAACAGCTCTAAAAAATAATTGTTGAATCTAAACAATAATGAGGTGTCAGAGATTGAATGCAAAGAACAACTTAACATTCAGGTTCAAGTGTCTAGATATGATGGATAGTATGAACTGGTAGTCCAATCAATCAGCAATTTCATTTCAACTTGAGAAAGTCAGTCAAAATGTAGTCGGTGACAAACATGGCATATTGGAGAAGAAAACTCTACTTTGTCTATGCTGACTTAAGCAATGTTTGTGTTTCTCCCCAGCATATTTTACAAACTGGTTCTAAAAGTTTGATATAATCATGCAAGATGCATGTTGCTTGGAGACACAAGTTTTGGTCCCATCTACCTCAAAATCCACCATTCAGATCAGGTGTTTTTTTAGACATCTATATGAAACATCCACGTGAGAAAAAATGGTCCACTCCATAATATGAACTAATATACAATTTCCTTTTTTCTTGCTGACAGAGAATGGAGTTCTGTTCATCTGCAAACAAAATGTGGTGCATGTGAAATCTTCCACTAGCTATTACAAATACCACGATCGTTGTCTTGCGACTCTTACATGGTAGTCTGGTTGGAGAGACTAATTAAAACGGCAAATAAGCTTCCTATGAAAAATGTTCTTCATAAAAATGTCATATTATTCAAAAAAATTCAAAAGCCCAAAATGTTAAAGTTCAAACTGTGATATATTGCTAGAGTTCCAATGAAACTTTAATTAATTTGACTTATCTCTCGACAAGGAATGTACCATAATTGCTGGATTATAAGTCACTACATTTTTCACATGCTTTGCGCACTGTGATGCAGCTAATATGTGAATTTTTACCAGTGGGTTTAAAAAAAAAAATCTGATTGCTGCATGACAAATTTTCCTCGAGACTAACGTGACATTAATAGCACAAACAAAAGAGACTGAGGAAGAGTGTCACAAAGTAAATGGGAAATGGCCTGCACTTGTATCAACTAAATACATATGTGTTAAGGTCACTGTGATTTCACTTGGAAAAAATTCACACACTGAAATAGTATCTGTACGTTTACAAGGAAGTAAAAGATTAGTTCCTGCATCCAGGGGCCAGTCGGTGCTGCAATAAGCTCTTTCACTTGGAAGTTACACTTGGTAAAAACCATGCTAATAGTTTGATGAATATTTAAATGCACCACACTGTGAAACAGTCTTTTTTTCTGCAAGAAGAGGTTTCCTGCTTTGATTTAACTGTGGTTATAGAAAGGACTGTCATATTATAATGAATAATACATCCATTTACATTCATAATTTTTTAATCTAGAGAAATGTAATTTAATTTTCTTTGCAGTCTGTGTGAATTACCTCCCATCTGAACTGGGATTAAAAGAAATGAGAAATAGTTCAAATTTGGTCAACACTTAGCTGACAGGAACTTGATAAATTTTCCACCATAAAATTGTTTTTTCACAGACAAATAAAAACTATTCAATAAGTAAGAGACTGCGGCAAGCGCAGTGTTACTGGTAACTGCAAGTTCATTAAATCCAGCCAAACCTAGTTTACAAGTTTCTTCTTATTTTGCAGTTTAATCTATTTAAGTCCAACTTTATGAAGCCATTTTGATAACCAGCGCTGAACCAAAGTGACAGTCAGTTAAATGAGTTATAATAACAAAAAACAAAAATTTTAGCAGAAAATACACAAGTAACCAGTAAAAACAACTAATATAAAAATGACCTAAAAGCAACAAATGACCTAAGAGAATTACCTAAAAACAACAGATTTCATGATGTCAAATGCTAAGGCATAAAGAAAGGTTTTGGAAGAGATTTAAACAGATAGAGAAGACGCCTCTGTAGTTTCCAAGGGCAGATCATTTAACAGTTTGTGAGCTGCTACAGCAAAACCACAATCTGCTCTAAGTTCACACTCAGTCCCAGATACAGGGACAAGCAGCTGATCAGGTTAGTAGGCAGGTGTATAACACTGCAACAGTTCAGAGAGATTGGATGGGGCAAGGCCATGGTGGGTTTTAAAAGCAAAAAAAATTATTTTAAAATAAATTCGGAATGGACTGGAATACCTCTTGAACACAATGCTTTACCTTATCTTAGCAGTAGATTGGATGTCGATGGAAATCTGTACCCATTTTCTGTCTTAGGAGTAATGTTGGTCTTTATTTTCATAAGCTTGTGTAATAGACAATGTGCTTTATCGGTTTCAGCACCTTGACAATGGGCATTAGAAAAACCAAGTTCCACAGTGATACAACAAAAAGGTGGGATTTTCCACAGGTATTCCACCTCTGATCTTTTTATTTTATTTGCTTTTGTAAAGTTTCCTGTGCTGATTCTTGTGTTGTATAGAATATTTCCAAGACAGACAGTAGAGTAGATAGTTATATAACTGATACGCAGTAAAAAAAAAAAAAAAAAAAGTACAGTGACACCCAGACCGGTGGAAATTGTAGGGCCTCCGCAAAGAAGAATAGCCAGTACTCTTCAAGTTTTATCCGTTTTTATGTGCAACATAATTGTGAAGTGTTAGTGAGCAATAAAGAGGTCTCCATGTTCTCACAACTTAAACACACAAATATAAACCTAAACTTCAATTTACCCACCCAAATGTTGCCATCTTGATGATATGGTTTCCAGTTCCTTCCCGTGTCACTGTAGAGCAGACGGTACTGCGTTGTCCAGTCTGAGCTGCTGTACCGACCCTGTGTTGCAATGGCGCTCACTTGTCTTCGAGAACCAAGGTCCACCTGGAGCCACTGGTAATGGTCACTGTCCAGAGGCGACCATCCTCCAGCACCTGTAACGTGGATGACATTTCAAAATGGAGGGCATCAAAGATTTCTTTTCTCCAGCATACTTCCTTACAGTGCAACGCAAAGCCAAAGTTCCAAAGTTGCTCTGAAAAAGACTCATGATTGCTTCATTACCCCTCTACCGAAGACAATTTAGGTTTGAAGTCTGCTCCCAGTAAAGCTTAATTTACAAAAATATATTGCAGCATAAAAAAAAACTATCCTAGGTTGTGTAAAAGATTATAGATACAACATTAAATTGTTGAAGTTTTGCACTGAGTAATGAAAATGGGATTTTGAAAAAAACCTCAGGCTTTATCCGTTTACAGAGTGGTGTGCACAAAACTCCTACAGTGAGCAATACAAGATTGTCAATACCTTAAAAACCCAATGCAGCAAAAGTAAAATATATCTAATATATCTAAATATATCTAAGATATACAATACAATCAGTTATAAAAAAAGTTTGGGGATGAGTAAAAAGGTGAGGAACAAGTCTGAGTTCATGGCAAATAGATAATATAAGCAAATGATTAAGAACACAAATTAAAAAAGTCTGAACGACAGACAAAGAAAATGCATTAGAAACCAAGAGCTGGTTCAAGTACACTTCCAACATTAAAGAAACAGTAAAGAGTTAATAGCTGTTACCCTGATTAACTACTAGAGAGGTACGCTCTGAGCTAGTAGTAAAATCTTTGAAATAAAAATTATACAGCATCTAAAAAACATGAGGTGTCCTAGTTAAGTGGAGTTAACTGCAGAGGTTGCAGAAAGAAAAAAAAAAAAAAACTTAGATTATCAATGTTCAATATCTGTCATTAGGATTTTCTGCGATAAACCAACTCACTAAGCTGCATTGTTTTAAGTAGAAGGAATAGTTTTTTTACTGCTCATTTAAACATAGCTCAAACAAGTGCATGACGCAGCAGGGCCGCCATTAGACAAAACTATTTGAACAGGAAGGATCGTCAGAAGCAGGGTTACCACAACATACAGATGGATATCAAAGGGGCAAAGCTGGACTGAAAGATCTAGAGATAAATATGGGCTCAAAAGATCATACAAGAATTGGAAGGATGTAGAATGTTGGAAGTGAGGGAATTAAAGGTGACAGGCTAAACGAATGGTAGCATCAGCCAAAAGGGGGAAAAAAAAGAGAAAGAATAAAAGGAGAAAAGGGAGTCGGGAAGCATCGTGGGAATGTCACTGTTCTTTCGCCTGTCACACACACAGATGTTCGGGGAGGGAAAAAAGGAGCAGGAGGAGGATAGGTGAGAGAACAGGGGAGCAGAGAAGGTCAAGACGCCACGTCTGAACAAGAGACAAAGAGAAGGAGAAAGCCAAAAGGCAGTAGAAAAAGATCAGAAGATAAAACTCACAACAACAGCGGAGAGAAAAGGAAGAATGATCGAAACTGTAAAACAATTAACTCGCTAGGCGAAATGCCATCCCAATTTTGTCATGCTTGGAGATCAAAGGAGATTGAAAGCTCCTTTCATTGGATAAAATGGACTGTGATTAAGAGTTTGGAAAAACGGTTTCAAAGATTTTATAGCACTACCAAGACCATAAAAACTGAAAACAGATCAGTGCTCATAAAGTCAAGCTAATTAAATTATTCTAATTTAAATAGTGGGCTAAGCTGTAAAGGAGGGCTAGCAGGAAACATCACACCCACAAGCCAAGGCCCTTTATCTGTTCTGATTCTTTTTTGTGTAAATGTGGGTGTCAAATACTCTCATTTTATCCGACAGTTCAACAACATGCATGTTAGCTTAACTGGTGAGTCTCACGTTCCCAAAAGTGGGAGTTTATATACACATGGTTGGCTGCTTCATCTCTACTTGGACACATATTCTATGTGTGTGATTTGAAAGTGTTTGTGCTCGTGCTTCCAAGGGTTCCTTTTATTTGTATACATTTGTGAGCGTTTATTTGAAAAGTTTCGATTGGCAACTTCAAGATCTTAATTAGTTAAGAGTCTAGGATGTCAGAAAAGGGGAATGGAGAGAAAACAGCTGGTTGGCTCTCTGCTAGTGCTTCATCTTTCTGTCATGGAGCAAAGGGAGGGAATGGAGACAGAGTAATTTAATTAAAAGCCGACTGTCATTACCGATGGATGACTGCAATGGCAAACTTTACAGGATGACAGAGTGAAAAGAATATATGAAAACGGAGGGGGAATCAGCACATTAGAGCTCTGTTGTCCTGCAGCTGTTTTTTTTTTTTTTTTTCAAAATACAGGGGGACAATAAGATACTTTTTTTTAAAGCTGTGAGAAAATAAAATGCTACATAAAAGGGTGCAAAATGGGAGGAAAAAAACAACGGATAATAAAACTGAACAAAAAAGTAAGCAGAAAAGTTGGGAAAATGGGCCGTGGGATTGAAAATGTTGCAATAAAAACTTGCAGATGCATACAGAGAAGAGGAAATGGTGATGTTAAAAGAGTATGCAATGATCTAATGGTGAAACATGGGAGAGATGAATTCTGAAGAGAAGCTTAAGAAAGGAAAGCAGCAGAAGAACACAAGAAGATTTTAAGATCAGTTTCGGAAGTGTTAATCATTTGAGGTTGAATTTTATGCTTGGTCACTTTTGCACTGCAAAGAACTGTGTGCATACATGAATGCTTAGATATATGCATACCTATCGGATTCACTACAGATGCACACATGCATACACAGATCACCCAGTTCCATTTCTTTCTTATATCATTTTCCATTGTTGCATGAGTGAGTTTCTCTCTGGTCAAGGGCTAAATAGAGTTTCTCTTTTACACAAATTCCCACTGAATAAGAAAAAACTCAGGTAACATGGATGGTATGTACATATTAAAACAATACAAGTACATGGAATTTGGTTCCTCTGAGATCACAGTGGGGAACAATATAATTTTGTTCAAACCATCAACCATAAAGGATTTACGTCCTTTACCTTTTCCTCCATGTTGTGTTTCTATCAAAATGTTATTATTTGGTCTTCATTGTTAACTCTTTGTTCTCATTTTGAAGGTGTCTCACATGTTTAGAGGAAAATTTCATATTCTCCAGACTACTTAACTTCCAATAGCTCTCTGTTGTTTTCAAAAAATATTTTTTCAAACCATTCACATACAAATGTAAAAATTCTCAAGTTAACTTCAAATTTATAGAAAGCGTCTTTATAGCACATACGCATAAAACATGAAATCTACAAAAGTAACAAAGTGGAAGCAAAGAGGACCGATGGAGGGAAACAAAGAAAAATGACACTGGAGGGAAGTTGGAAAACCAGAAAGTTAGGAAACGAGGACAAAAAGTTAAAAGGACGCAAGACAGAGAAATATACGCAAGGAATGAAGGATTTTTAAATGTTTTCACTCTTGTATTGTAACATATTGTATACTTATTTAAATTAAATGTTCTGTTATTATTATTTTTTAATTATTAGTTGAGGATAACAACTTTCTACTTCATCTTTTCTTTATCATTTGCGAATGCAAATCAATCGCACCCACAATCTTTGCAGATCGCTTGCAACCTAGTGCATGTGCATTTTTTTTTTCTGTCTCATGCAATTTAAAGTTTCTTCTTTGGACTCTGTGTAGATCAGGTCCTCGGTATTTTGACAAATATCAGAGTTTCAAAAATGCAAATGAATAAGACTGTAAGAAATAAAACCAGCCTCAGTCCCCAAAGGGTTTAACATTATATTCTATGATGTTTTTCGAACTACAAACACTGTGGACACTAGGGTAATTATCATTATAATTACGAAAACATAAAATACATGATATATCTGAAACCGTATAGAAATTATCTTTGGCTTCATTCCATTACTCTTCTTTTTTCTCTGATGCTCTGACTGCCACCCCGTCTTTATTTCTTATCCCTTTCTTTATCCAAACAGACCAAAAGGTACTGGCTGCAAGAGAAATTGGCTTGTCTCTTTTCTCTGTCTGACACTGCTGAGAAATACAGGGTCTTGTACTTGAAGTGACAGAAAGAAGCTACAGTCGAGGGGAAAATGTAGATTTGGGAGAGAGGGGCGAACAGCAGTGATAATGTAAGGCAGGGAAGTCAATGCCATGACAGGAGGGAGAGGAAAAGAGGATATAATAAAAGGAGGAGAAAAAGTGACAGACAGAAATTATTCTAAGAAAGTGGGGAGATGGAGGGAGAGAGAGAGAGGCAGAGAAGCACAGAGAAATAGAGAAGGAAAGGGAAAGGAAGACAGAAACAAAAAAAAACATGATGTCAAGAAGTTACAGTAGAAGGTGAGGATAATAAAGAAAAAGAAGAGGCAGATATGACAGACCAGAAGCGTTATTGTCTGTTAACAGACAACAGAAAAAATGTAGGTGATCATCTAAAGGTTTGCACACACAAAAATAAGTGCAACTTGACAGCACATGCAAACCTGATGAACAAACACATAAATAAGATCCTGTCAGCGAAATGACGAGATTTACAAGCACAATAAATTTAACATTCATTAATATGCAAAACATGGGGTATTGCATATACATTTGATATTTGTTTTGTCATTATTGGTCCAGCATAAACATTTTCTTCTTGATCTTTCTTTATGGTCTTTATGGTTCTGACACTTTTCATGATGACAACCAGTTGCACATGCAAAATCCTCATTATCATTATTATTATATTATTATTATTTTTTTTTGTTTACACAATTTATCACTCCTTATTTGGAATAAGGTCAAATGAAGTGCCAAAGTTTATCAGTTTAGTCTGAACTGTAATTTCTGGACAAAAGAAGGAAGAAAAAAAGAACAACATAGTTCAAAGGAAAGCATAATGTGTTATGTAATGATGATAAATGCTATTTCAGCAAACAATGGGTGTAAAATCCGGAGGCTAACAGTGTTCAACAAAGTTAAGTCACATTTTCTGGTGGGGCATTTCAATAAATTAATGTTTTATTTAATACTAGCATCTGGACATTCTCTTAAAGAGTTCTTCAATGTTTAGCAACATAATGAATATTTTCATTACCCGTGTTTGTGGACATGCAGCCAAGTCTAGTTCTAATGTTTTTCTGATCAATGGCTGAAATGAGATCCACAAACTCTGAGATGACAGAGAAAAACATCTGACAACATTTACGTTACATTTTTTTAAGTCCATTTTGTGGTCCGACATTCATAGACTGCACACTGATTAAGTTTTTTTTCTTGTTTTTTTTAATGCACTATTATGGCAAAAGTATTGAGACACGTATCCAAATTATTCAATTCAAATGTTATGTCCCCTTCCACTGGGGTATGAAATCAAGAACTTAAGAATGACTCCAGACTGCTTACCATTTATGAAAACATGAGTTGCTCTCAGGAGCTGAATGAATTGAGGCATGCTAGTGTGAGTGGGAGGCAATGTGAAAGAAAGCGGAGTCACACCAAACATTAAGTTTAGCTAAAAAACACACGCATGGGCTGCATGGATTGGGTTTCCATGGGTGAGTAGCTACATGAAAACCTTACATCATTGAGTACAATGCAAAGCAACAGATGCAGTGGTGCAGAGCAGGTCACCTCTGGAATCCTAAGTCATGAAGAAGCATTCTTTAGAGTGACAAATCCTCAGACCCCCTCACAAAAACTTAAAGTTCTTTGAGCTGCAAAGGCTGTCCGTGTATATTCAATGTACTAAGTATGATACATCATTAAAATTCAAGAATGTGTAAAGGAAATGGTCTCAGCATTTTTGCCAGTTTAGTGGATTTGACAAGTCAAAATCGGACAGAATCGATTTACAGTAATGTAGATGTTATCTTTGTTGTGGAAGGCTGATCTGGATAATAATACAAGCAGGGAGAGATGGGAGGAAAAAAACATGTAGCACAACAGCATATTGAGCTATTAATTGCATTTTATCCATTTTTCACCTCCCTGTTTTATAGCTGGAAAAGGCTGGCAAATAATTACATAAAAGAACAAACTCATACTATGGGCTGCTCAGATGAAAGTGAAAATTACATCTATTAATAGTTTACAGAAATAGCTACACTTTTAAATAATTCACAATAAAACATGAAAGCGACACAATGTAACCCAGAAGCTTGAAAAAGCACTGAATTCTTCACTTGGAGTAAGGTGGTGCATTTTCAGCATGAATTACAAAACATAGACATCAGAAAACATTGCAGTGCATTGTGGGACATATCAAATGTTTTACTCTGCATGGCATTTATTTTGCTGTAATTTCACTTTTTTTTTTTTTTTTTTACCAAAATCTGCTGAGTCATCTCCCACATAAAGATGATTTACTTCTGCTGTCCTTAGCAGTGTAAAATACGAATTAAGAGCCAGTGTAGCAAAAACTGCTCTATGACTAACTTAAATGCCCTTCTAAAAGACTCACCTTTTTCATGTTTTCCTAGAAACCTCAGCACTTCTGCCTGTGTTAAAATTAATGCTGCCAGAATCTTTAATCACGATTTTCAAAATTAAAAAGTGAATATTGATTTTGCTGTATCTCTGAACAGTGGTGGTTTTTAACAAGGGCAATATGGGCTGCTCTGTAAACATGATCTGGAAGTCATTTCAGTAAAACCCAGTGGTGGTATTTGCAATAGTGTATAACTGGAAGACCTGGTTCATGTCTACTCTGCATTCCCAGAGACAGAACCAAACATGGAGAAACAGCATTTAGTCTTATTTAGGCTCCTTTTTTAGAGTTGCCTCTGATTTAAAACAACGGGAGCATTGACCAAAAATATTCAATGTACTTGAAGATGATTATTCTCAATGATTTTAACGATGGCATTTGACAAATTGTAATTGGTTATTGTTTTGTTGGTATGTTATATAAATTTGACTTAATTTGCTTTGAATACAGTATTAATTTATGTACTTCCCCAGTTTCCTTTGTGTTATGTTACAGTACAATATGGCAAGGCTAAATATGTCACCAATTTTGGACTTGTTGATAATGTGTGCATGTGTGTGTGTAGGAGAAAGAGAGACCTTGTTTTTATACACTGTTAGGACCATTTTCCAACAAATACTACATTGTAGAGATCCTCTGCTCCTTACGGGGCCCAAAGTCCTGGCTCATAATAAAAAGTGCTGTTTTTGGGCTATAGGTTAGAACCAAGCTGTGAATTAAGTTGACATTAGGGAATGACAAACCGTGTGTGTGCGTGTGTGTGTGTGTGTGTGCATGTTTTAGAGATTTTTGTGGGTTCAGTGGGTCCAGAAACATCAGACGCAGCATTTACACAAGAGCTATCAGCATCTGTGAAACTAGTCCTCATTTCTTCCTTTATTTTAAATTCTGCCTTGTTCTCTTGTTTGTATAAGCCGTGATTCAAGAAGCATGAGTCTCATCCTCTCTCATTGCTTTAACTCAATCGGTGTGATTAAAATCCTCAGATTGCCTTGCCTTTATCTGGCAGGTCTGCATCACTGCTCAGTCGCCCAAGCTGCAGGGTGACTGCATTAGATGGAAAGGTATGAATTATTAATTGTAAAAACATAAAGGGGTGTAATTGTCTGTTCATAGCCCTTAGCTGTGGACTGATGTGAAAATGAGCTTCAGTCTGAGTCACAGAGATAATGATTAAAACGACGACGAGGAGAGTGAGAGACGAGGGAACACAAAAGAAGATGTAAAAAAAATAAATAAACACAAAAGGGAAAATGGGTTAGAAGAGGCAGAAGGGGAAAAGAGCAGCTGGGGAGCACTGTGGAGCGTGTCACTCTATAAAGGCTTGAGCATTCATCTCACAGTTTGATCACCTGCAAAATCATTCATAAAGATGTATGGACATGTATCCAAATTAGACTATTAGTCTCTTATATGTGTAGAATAAATGTGAAAAGAGCACCCTCCCACCACTTTCATTTATATCCAAGTACAAGGACATTTCCGTCTTTTTCTGTGTGTGTGTGTGTGTGTGTGTGTGTGTGTATGTGTGTGTGTGTGTTTATGAGCAGGTGTGCGCTTCCTATGAATATCTGAATGTACTATGGATGTGTGTTTCCTACCTCCTCTCCTGTTGAGTTTGGCATATCCAGGTGCATATCCACTGGAGAAGACGGATGAGCTGGTGAAGGCCGTGTGAGGCAGCGGAGAGGCTAGAGCCTCATCACACTTCTCTGTGGGGAGCGAATGATTGTGAAGAGAGAGAAAGATGAATAGGGGACAAAACAGGACAGGAAGTGGGAAAAGCCAGAGGACATGTAATTGTGAGAAAAGAAATGCAGGGCAGATGCGAGGGGGGGGGGGGGGAGAGACAAGAAAGGGAGAAAAAGTCAGTGAACTAAACCCAGATCCTGTGTTTATGCACATACACTGCATGTGGAAAAGCAAAGACCTGAAGTTGTTCACAATTGACGGTTCTTTTAAAGAAGAGTAAACACATCCGATACTTGCAAAAAATGTAAGTTTTTCTCCAACTGCTTTTAACAAAGAAACTATTTAGTTGACACTAAGCATAAGACAAGTGTGGGATTTTTATATAAACATAAAACCAAAGAACAATTGTGAAAAGTGAAATAAAATACTGTTTTAAATCCTTTAAAAGTGGATCCAGATAAAGAGTTTATCAGTTTCAAATTTGCCTTGAAAAATCAGCAATGTTGTGCTAGTCAAATCAAACTAACCTCAAACACCAAATGTGAGAAATATTCATGGGGAAAAACTGACATAAAGATAAAAAGATGATTTTTTTTTCATATACACACACACAGTCAACAGTCACACACTGCCTCTCTCTCCTGTTCGTAAAGCTTCACCTTTCACTCTCTCATACAACTGAACCCACTCAACTACAGTACATTAGACTTAAAGACAGAAATGGTGAATTGTGTGTCAGGCTATGTAGAGGCCATCAGCAGCTCTCTGCTCCCACAGCGTAAGTGTGGGCGTACAGTATGCTGCATAAAGTCAAACCAAACATCTTATAACAGTTGACCAGGTAAACAAAATATTTGTTGTACTATTTGACCAACAAGAGTGTATTTCAATAGGAATTTTATTAGTTTAATGGAAGAAATTAAGTGTAACTCCTGGTCAGAGAGGTGTTCCTCTCTTCCTTGATTATGTACAGATTGAGATTGACATTTCCTGTCCGATTCCATTCAACTACTCATTCTGATAGTGTCTGGTAGTCGGACGTCAAGAGATGACATCCATTGATTCGTATTGAACTTATTGATGAGTATCAAAGCTTCTGGTAAAACTACCCTTGGCTGAAGTCCAGTGAACTCTTCTTTCTGCACTCACATCAGTAAAATGCTTCCAAAACGTTTTAAAGCCACACCACCTTCTGATAGTTTGTCAATGGTCAACAAAGTTTTACAGCTCCAATAGGCTCTCCTTTAGGAAAAATGATTCTGCAAAGTAATAGAAAGTTTGCTTGGATAAGAAAATAGACACAAACTAACAAATAGTGTCTTCTGAAAGTTAATTCCCACTAGTAAACAGGTGTAAATCATGAATGAAAAATGTTTTTAGTTTGAATTATTTCAATTTGTTAAAACAAGGATTCTGTCTGATCAGATGAAAGACTTTCAATGGTCAGATTTTTTTCCCCCCACTTTTTGATAAAGTCACAGTGATGCGACAATAACTTCCCATAACCTCACTTCAAAATATCTGAACTATACCTGTAAAGAGCCATCAATATGGTTACAAGTGCACAAGATATCTAGGTAAATCACTGGATTACAGCAATATGATCAACCTCAACATCTGCATCTGCAATTTGTCATAATATTTGTCCTGAGATGCACAGACAGTTGTTTTCATTAAGTTATAAAAATATATACTCTTCCTTAGGAACACTGGATAGATGTAGCTCAGTAAAGAGATTAATTGGGTGTTGATGTACAGGAATGTGACTGTATTCATCTCTCTCTTCTCTTCTAATAAACACCTACATTTGGGTAGAACGAGGCCATCTTGATGTCTTTGGGTCGGCTTACCAAGTGATGTGCTTCTACTTATCTCTCCTCTGCAGCTGTGCCACATGAGTAATTGTCATGTAGAAGCATCTGGTCATGAAATCACAAAATAAAATCCTAATATCTTGCTCCCATAGCTACAGAAGTATTCTATGACATGTTCCATAAAAGATACCACCTCGGTGTTTCAAATGTTCAGTAAAACCTGATCTCTGACTTAGAACATCGACACACGTGGATCTTCATAATTACCAAATACAACATTATCTGTCTAGGCTCAAATGTAGTCTGGCTTCTCAAGCAGAATACTTTTCTAGTTCTTTGTGTAAGCTTCATCCTGTTCAAAATAAAAGTTAGTGTCAATATCCTCCCAGCTTAAATTAACTTTAAATCTATTATTATTATTATTATTATTATTTTTCTTTCCATGTCTCTGTTGGCTATGCTTGGTTAGATTTATGCAGGACTGCAGGTAAGCCTGTCTGTCCTGATTGAATATTCAAACAATGCAGGATGATGCCTTTGTGAAAACATAACACTTAAAATCAGGCAGCAGTATACACGCATTGCCTCATTCACTCAAGCCCAAGCACAAAATCTTCCCCTTAGAGAACTAGCTATGAACAAGCAGGACTCAAAATGCTGCTCACAAAACATGTATCTAGAAAGGAAGGAACAAACAGAATAAGAGCAAGTTGATTTCATCAGCTGTCAAAGTGTAAAGAAAAAAAAAAAATATTTGCCAGTGGTTCCACTGAGTTGGAACCACTGTTCTTTAACTCTTCTGATTTTACAGACTCTGTAACATCAGAAGAGTTAAAGACAGACTCACAGTAAACCAGCACCCGCCAGTTTTACCACCTCTTCAACAGACAGTGACCAACCAGCAATCCGTGGTTGGTCACCGTTTGTTTCTGCGTGTTCATGTGTTGTGCGTGTGCCTGTTGGTGCGGGGACGTTACACCAGAGTATTTTGGAGGAGACGATCTGAATGATGTTGTACATATCTAAAAAAGCCAGTTGCCATTAAATAGAGAGCTGAAAATACAGTCATGATCACAGAGGCATTATGAAACCGCCATTGATGAACCACTCAGACTGTGATTATGTGCTAGCACAGTGACGCAATCTGGTCCATTTTGCACCGATTCTTGCATTGAATGATTTGCACATTAAGTAAGTGCGTTGCTCATCATTGAATTGGATTTGCTGCTCGGACACGTCTTTGGTCAGCTACGCTACCAACTTCTAAAGTGCCTCTTCTCAAGCACAATTTGCTTTCTATTGATGTTTTTTCATTACATATAATTTTCCACAACACAATAAACAGGCAGAACGCAATTCTCCCTTAGGGGGTTAATATAAGGTGATTCAATTCAGTTCAATTCCATTTAATTTGACTGGATTTAAGTTAATTCAATTATCTTTCCTCCATCTCTGTCGTGCAGCTCCTGTCACAGCTAGTTGTGCTGATTTTCTGTCTCCCGTCTCAACAACCTCCCTGTAATCACTAATCTGAAAGCATTTGTTGTTGTGCATTTAAAGCATCTATGTAGGTGTAACTACAATGACACGTTTGCTGATTTATTTTGTATAATTGGGCAATTCATGCAAATTTGTCACAATATCCTAGGCAAAGTATTGTTGGGATTTGCTGGAAAAATTTGTATACAGAGATAATGAGTTTTCTCCTTATGGATCGTGTTCTACTTCACTTCCTGTCTCCGTTTCTTGCTCCAACTTTGTAGAAAACAGGCTCTGTTCTTTCCCTCTAGTTTGGAACTCTGACATTTCCTCTCCCTTTCCACCTCATTAGTTTACTCCTGTGTTGTTTGTTTTACATGCATGTATTTTCCCCACCGGTTCTTCATATTTTATTACGCCTCAATGGAGTTCCCTTTTTGAACAGTTTGTCATCCTACTGTCCTTTATTGGCAGTAATCCGACAGGAAATAGCCAGAGAAAGAAGGGGTTAGGAGAAGACATAACGTAAAGGCCTTAAGCTCAGGAATTGAACCACAGATGGATGCGTCAAGGACTAACAGCCTCCACATATGGAGTGCCTACTCTACTCCACCACATGCCCTCCTCCAATCTGGATTTCTGAATTTAGGTTGTCTATTAAAAAAAAAGCCACACCGTGTTATCTGTAAGATGTCAGAATATATATGTAGTTGTTTTTAAAAAGACTGAAATCATTTAACACAGAGCTCAGTTCAAAAATATCTAAGTGGTGTAGTAGATGAAAATTGGCTTAGCACTCTACATGTTAGTCAAGTAGAGTCCAAATATTTTAGAGGTTGTTAGGGAAAAGTAAGACTTGAATTTTACAAAAACATTTCCCATTATGGAGCCAAAATAAATTACACTTACACAACAGCAAAAGAAAAACCAAGCAGCACTGAAAACTATGTCCTGTGCATGCTAGGCCCAAAGGAAGTGGTGAAACTTTGTGAACTTTCTTGATTCAGAGGTGTATTTCCTTGACCGTACACACAGGGGTACACATATGATCTGATGCATGTCATTTATGCATCATCACTAACTGCATAAATGTTCAACAAAAAAGCTAATTTTGCTTTAACCTAGCAAATAATCTGAAGAGGTGTAGCTGCAGAGACAGAACAAGAAGGTCAAAATATTTGCAGTTTGCATTTACATGTACATGATTCAGGAGCCCGTTATACAACCTTCACGTTTTTGTCGCCATAAAGGTGTTATTCTAAACAAGAGACCAAAACACAACAAAACATTTGTGTTATATGTCATGTAAACAGAGCCTTGCTAGGTAGGACTTGAGTCTCTACATCATGGCCTGTATGTTGAAACAAGATTGTATAGCCTTGAACAATATCGTTTTCTAATTGCCCCCAAAAATAACTAAACTCATACGTTGGTAATATTTTAAAAACAAGTAAAAAGGAAAAGTTGGTCTTGAAATGTTGTTTATTGTACCAGGAAATCAACTAAGAAAGGTCAGCAGAGTTTATAGAGCATACCAAAAATCAAATATATAGTACAGTATAAGAAGAATGAACAATGATATCATCTTCGTGACTTTCTAGCTTTGTCAATTCAAGGATTTCTTCCATACGTATTCCCCTTAATCAGAAAATAATTTTTTGCCAGACCTACATGAAAGTGTATTATGGGTTAAACAAAAAGAGTACATAGTGTATGTTTTATTTTTA